GGTTTTGGCATGGATGCTCTGGTCATCGCATGCTCTAGGAACACGAACGTTATTATGGTTTTGGCATGGATGCTCTGGTGACCGTATGCTCTAGGAACACGAACGTTATTATGGTTTTGGCATGGATGCTCTGCTAACCGTATGCTCTTCTTGACGAAGCTGGACAGCGGGTGCGCTTGACAGCGATAAATTCCGGGCAAAGGGCGCAGCCTGTTGCTAGTGTTATAGCCCCTAAACCCCAAATCCTAGACCCCAAGCCCCAAATCCTAAGTCCTAAATCCTAGACCCCGAACCCTAGATCCTAAACCCTAAATCCTAAACCCCAAACCCTAAACCTTAAACCCCAAACCCTAAATCCTAAATCCTGAACCCCCAAACCCTAAATCCTAAATCCTAAACCCCCAAAGCCTAAATCCTACACCCCAAACCTTTAATCCTAAACCCCAAACCCTAAATCCTAAACCCCAAACCCTAAATCCTAAACCCCTATTACCATTGAAAGCCCTCAAGCCTGCCATTCGCCAAGGCTATCCGCTTCCCAGAAGCATAGCTGGCAGTCTGTGGCAGGTGCTTATTGTAAGATGTAGGGGTTTAGGGGTTTAGGGTGTAGGGGTTTAGGGTTTAGGGCTGTAGGGTTAAGGTTGGGTACAGCCCCCACCCAGTAACAGTCTATATTAGGGGTCCTAATATATAACCATATTATAATTATTATCCAACTGTTACTGAAGGGGGGCGGTACTGAAGGTTCAGGGTGTAGGGGTTTAGGGTTTAGGGCTGTAGGGTTAAGGGTTGGTTTTAGGGCTTCGGGCTTGAGTTTCACGGTTTGGGGTTTAGGGGTTGAGGGTTTAGGATGGAGGGTTTGGGGTCTCAGTTTTTGGGCCTCAGGGTTTAGGCAACAAATACTACAATTGAAGCTGCCATGGTGTTTAAGTTTGTTTTGATTCAGGGTTTAGGGTGCTTAGCAGGAAATGCAGGAATGGATCATAGGGGCTGTTCTAAGGGGTATGTAGGGACTACTAGAAGAATCCATTCCCTCATTCCCGCAAAGCACCATGTCATGCTTCCCGTGTCATGGGTTTCCTTACTACCCCTCTCTATACTAACCCCAAATAAATGTAATTAGGCTTAATTACCCTTAGGGTTAGTATAGCGGGCCCTACACCCTAAACTCCTAAACCCTAAACCCCTGAAACCCTAAACCCTAAACCCCCTAAACCCCTGAAACCCTAAACCCTAGTTAGGGGGGTAGTAGGGGAACCCATGAGTCTGGCATTGTTCAGTGCCAGGCAGCGGGTAAACCCTAAGTCCGAAGGCCTAAATGGATGTTTCCCAAAATTAAGGGTACCCTTTAAAGGGGGATACAGGGGTTATATGGGGGCTATATAGGGGTTATAGGATTATATAGGGTTTTTGGGTTAGGGTTTCCCAAATTTACCAAAAGGATGTTTCCGTGAAGAGGGTCCCCCAATACAGATGCCAATCTGAATCTGAAGTTATCCTTATTGTAGGTACCCCAAAAAAGAGACCCTAAGTTTTGGATTTTTTCCTTAGATAGGGAGACCCCAATATACGTCCCAAAAGATGTTCAGTTGTCGGCGGCGCCATTTGAAAGGGAGTTCGGCCTAAACCCCTAAACCCAAGCTCTATGCTCCACCCCCCATGTATAACCCCAATAGACAACCATATAGAACCACCCCTGAGAGAACCCCTCATGTACCATTCAAGGCCAACATGCTCCCGACTGACCTATTCGTGACCTTAGCTACTTATTTCACAAGACCGTATGGGACGAGCGGATCATGTTCTCGACGGAGTAGGGTACCTACAACAGCGAAGAATTTTCAACATCAACAATATGATCCATTCACCTGTTCCTAACGAAGCATGAGCAATGTACGAGCCAGACTAACCACGAATAGCATTCCCTTCTAACCCTTTTAGCACTACAGTAGATTATACCCCAAAACTGCCCTGATGCTCAAGAGACTATAGTAGAACAAGCTCAAGACGCATTGGAAATACCGACAGGATTATAATGAAGCATATCCAAGACAGATTATTCGAATTCTTTGGGCCCTTAAGCCCAAACCCCTGACCCTAAGCCCTGGACCGTAAACCTTAAACCCTACACCTTTCACCCTAAACAACTGAACCCCTAAACTGTAAACCTTAATCCCTAAACCTTCAACCTTAAACCTCTAAACCCCTCAACCTTGGATTAAATTCGGTGATTCGCAGGTCCTCTTCTCACGGAGGTCTTTGACAGGAATGTCCTCTGGGTCTTGAAGAAGTGCTCCGGGGGATGCAGAGGAGTAGGGTGTAGGGTTGTTAATGGTTTAGGGTTTTGGGATTTAGGGTTTAGGGTTTGGGAGTCAGGTTTTAGGGTTTGGGATTGAGGTCTTAGGGTTTAGGGTTTAGAGGTTAGGGTTTGGGATTTAGGGTTTAGGGTTTAGGCTGTGGGGTGTAGGAGGTTAGGGCTTGTGGTTACGACAGATCCTGCATGACACTGAGTGGCCTAAAAATTGAGAGTTATGGTATTCTCATACCATAAGGTCATGTAGGTCTTTTAGTATCAACGGGTTTGGAGAGTTCAAAAAGATTTCTGGGAGTTCCTTAACACAGGGTTTAGGGATTAGGGCTAAACC